TAAAAAACTAAGAACAATACTTTACAAATCAAGCTCCAAACATATATTTATACACACAAAATAACACTCAAAAGACTTTCAGATTATCTACTTACATACTCGAAACATATATTTATATACCACAAAAAATTTGCATATCTCAGTTGACAACTAGCATCCGGGGAAATTAGCTTGAGGATCACGTTTATATTCTGAAATCAAAAGATACACAAATCAAAAAAATAGTAGACTGAATATACATGTTAGCAGCATTTCTAAAAAAACCACTGATCATTACGCTTATTGAGAATATACCTTCAGATAGAAATATAGCAACGATACGAACTCTATGTCTTGCACAATCCTTTTGGTCAACTGAAATTGGTTGACCGGAAATGAGACTGAACATGTATGACATCAAGAACACCTTGCAGTCCAAGCTACTGCAAGTTCACATGTTTACAATATCAATACAACACTTTTGGCCCACAATATATAGTTTTTGTGTGTCATCACATACAAAAAAACAATAACATGCGAATAAGTCGAATACACTAACCCGAGTTGTTGAGGTACATCGACACTTTCTATCTCACGACAAGATATAATATCCAAATTCCAATCATTGGGAATGGTAGAAATAAGCTTCACTCTAAAATCAACAGCATCAGTCATGTATCCGCGGAGAGAAGAGTAATGATAAAACTTTCGATCCTTTACAGATAATGCCAACATATGCCAAGTGTATTTGCATCTAAACACAAAATTACTAAGCCGGCATGACATCAAAATTACTAATGCTCGTTATCACTTGAGCATACAGTAAGATCAAGAAAAAATTTACAACGAATTTCCAATCGTATTTCGAGTATAGTTATATCAAATAACTTACCCAGAAGTTCTGGTAGAGATGATATTAAGATAGGACCACACAAACTAATGCAATACATATCTCAATCAAACTTGCTATAATAGTCTAAAAACCTATATAGAACCTACAAAAAAGGACCATCAAAGGGCCATGTTAAAGAGATGGAACATATACAAAATCAACGTCTCTAATGCATATGTAGATATCAAAGCGCGGTGAGCGCCAAGGATGCTCGATATCACTTGAGCATACAGTGAGAGATCATGAAAAAGTGTATGTCGAGTTTTTTTGAAGCAGAAGTGTATGTCGAGTTAAGCTTGGCATTCCTCGTGATTGAAGAATTATATGATACTATATTATGAGTCTTACAGTGTAACGGGCGACGGCGAGGTCGACGACAACAGCTACTTGGACGACGGCAGGCGAAGGGCGACGGCGATGGAGTCCAAAATACAAGAGAAAAATCCAAGTTCCCAGTCGAGGTCGAGGACGACGGCAATGGGCGATGTCGAGGTCTAGGGCAACGGTGAATGCTACAGTGGGCGAAGGGCGGCGGGCGAGAGCGAGGCGGCGAGCGACAGCGATGACAGCGAGCGATGGAAATTGGGGCTTTTGATTTTCGAATGAATGGGATTTTTGTTTTTTAATTTGGGGCTGAGTTGAAAAGGGGAAGATGAAGAGAGAGAGAGAGAGAGAGAGAGAGAGAGAGAGAGAGAGAGAGAGAGAGAGAGAGAGAGAGTACTGGTTTATATGGGGCTAATGAAAGGGTATTTTGGGTTTTTTTCCATGATTCTGTATAAATACTAGTCTTTTACCTACTGTATTTTAGAAATTGGGTTTAAAGATAAATATAAAAAAAGAACTGGGTTTAAAGATACAAGTAATAATGATTGAGTTTATTGATAAAGTTGAGTAAACAAATGTGTCTAGAAATAAAAACCCTTATATATATAATTTGTTATTATAAGATTTGAGACAATGAATAAACTGATTGACATATAAGTGACTCATCATTTTGAATGATTTGTTGCTTGTAATGCTTATGGTCACAACAACATGTGAATTTAAAGCTAAAGATACATAAATGTAGGTATTAAGAAAGTTTATAAATAATATTACACCATCAAGTTGAGGCTTAAAAGAAACAATTTCACGACCAAGTTATTATATATTAAAGAAATGAACCAAATAATCATGATATTTAACAAAATGCATTGCATGTGCATGTCACCTAGTGTAGTAATATGTATGAGATAAGAGTCCTAGGGTGCAAATTGTTTCGATATGATACTTATCATATCTATATTCAGTTACCAACCATATATACGAACATGGTATGTCTCGATAAAAAAACATGTATCCATATCTGCTAAAATCCATATGGATACGCATATACATGCAAATACCAGACAAATATGATAAAACAAGATAATATCAAGCAAAATATAGTTTATATGATACAAAAGAATTCATTAATATGTTTCTTATATATGAAAAGCTAAGATTAAATTTCATGATTATCAAAATCAATCTCAAATACATTAATCAAATTATTAGAATAATTGCAATTATTAGAATAATGGAGAATTTTTTAAAATAGGCCACTTTTGCTAAATATTTAGCAAAACCTGCCGTTTTACTAAATATTTTGCAAAACCAACATTTTTTGGCCAACTCGTGAAAACTAGCCAAAAAATGGTCGGTTTTGTTGAATGTGATTTTTGAAACACACGGGCCTAGTAGTCCCGTGTGTTTAGTGGCCGCTAATTGGCTACTAAATAAAAACTAGAAAATCCACGGGACTAGTAGACCCATGGGTTTGTTTTTAACTTTTTTCGGGTACTGTGAGAAACAGAGGGGCTCAGAAACTTGGACATCCCATGTATGGAGTGGGCTCCACGTGATTTGAGTGATGTAGCATACTAACAGTTACAAAACAAATTTTCAAAGATAGTTTCATTAACTGCTAGTATGCTACATGTGATGAGAGTGATTTGAGAAACAGAGGGGTTTAGAAACTAGTAGAGCTCATCTATGGAGTGGAACCCACGTGATGAGAGTGATGTTCATTGCGTCAACTTTTGGCTTCATCTGCAACTTTTAATTATTCATGTTTTTAGGCAAACTCACTTTCTGAACCCATGGAACTAGTAGTCCGGGTTTTTTTTTGTTTAGTGGCTGATTAGCAGCCACTAAACACACTAGACTATTAGTCATGTGTGTTTCGAAAATCACATTCAGCAAAACCTACCTCTTTTTGGTTAGCTTTGGTGAGCTAACAAAAAAAGGTCGGTTTTGCTAAATATTTAGCAAAACAGTCAGTTTTGCTCAATATTTAGCAAAAGTAGGCTGTTTTAAAAAGATCTCCTTAGAATGATTGCAACTGTATGACCAATATGTATTCGGTGTTATATATTCTAAATATTTCACCATATATCAATATCTGTAACTATATCCTACGTAAGATATAGATATTTAGTAATCATATTCGTTAGAATTGGGTATGAACACGAATAAATCCTTGGATTTGAATAACTTTCCTTTGTACCCTTATATATGATTAGAAAAAATGGTAATAGCTATATACAGTATTCCAATTGGTACATTTTTATTTATTCACGCTTCAAATTTTTAATATAAAAGTTGGATAATTAGAGAGATACACATTGAAAAAATATTCTTCATTAATGAAATGTTGATATTGTGTGTGCCATGCTTGAGGAGAGAGTATCAACTTACATATTTATTCATTTTTAACAACTCTAAAAAAATAGTAAAGAGGGATCTCCAGGCTTTGTTAACTTCAAGTTGCAAATTTTTTTAAAAGAGGATGAACATTATGAAGCAAATCAATTGTAAACACCCCTTTGGATTTAGAAATGATAGGAAACATGACGAGAAAGGTGAATAAGAAGGGTGCGTATTTAAAGAGCAGAAAAATCAAAGAAATTGGATATTCTGAATATAGAAGTATATGAGTAATACTAAATTGGTTTCAATTTGTATTAGTAATTTGGCGGGGTTCACCCAAATAAGTGGGCAGATCCTAAAATAGATTGATTACTATATTTAATGTGCCTTTTTTAGAAACGACAAAACATACCATCATAATATTCATAATGCATCACCACCGTAATATTTACAATGCATCTCTCAATCTAAATTTTGTTTACAAGATGACAAAATACTTTCTCAAAAGAAAAAAAAAGGCAAAAGACTTAAGCCATATGAACAAAATCTGTATTTCGAGAGAAATATTTATAAGTCAAAATAGATCATTATATAATTAATAAATCCTAAATTACGAGATTTAGATCCTCTCATCTAGCTCTCAAGTTTGATTTTGTCAACAAAAATCAAGGACTAGTAAAATATATAAAGAATATGACATTGAAGTATGCTTGGCAATTTTAAAAATTGGATTGAGTTTGGACTTATTTCCATTTAAGTAGGCTAGAATCGATCTGTTGATGTCCGTGAACACACAGTCGATGGGGTTGCGATTCTGGTCTTCGTGCTGACGGAGAATAGGGAGAGGAGAGGATGAGAGATGATGCCGACTCCTCCTCCGACTTTATGCCTGATCCTTAGACTGGAATTCCTGATCCTTGTGCACAAACAAGAAGAAACTCGTGGGAGGGCGGGACTCATTTCCCCCGTGGTACCTCCGACGGCCAAGTCAGCTGGTGAGCTTGAGTGGGGTTTGAGGGAGAGTCCCTGGGCTATTGAGGTCTTTAGCGGATACTCTTTAAGAGTTATCAGTCTTTTTTAGCAAAGATAAATTCGGAGCTTTTATGAAGAAGTAGCCGGAAAAAAATCCCCCCTCTTTTACCTTCTTTCCCTCTTTTTATAGCCCATCACCTCTGAGAGTTTGACCCTTGGCTTTGATTATGCACAGGAGGCGATTGAGGGGTGAACAGACAGACTGCTGAGTCATCATTCTCCTTCCAGATGTCGGCTGACGATTGGAAGAGAAGTCATTCAGATACAGGAGAGAAGTGTCTTCTCAGTGTCCTGGATTTGACAGATGAGGCAGGACAGCGGATAGGCCAACTGCTTGGTCGTCCTTCCGCCTCCAGATGACGTCTGGTGATTAGAGGGGAAGTCATTCGAGCCCAGGAGAGCATCATGGCGATCTCTGGGAAGGGACTTGTGAGGAAAATAAGCGGCTTATGCATGAGATTTGTCAAAGCGGAGATCTTGATAGGACCGATCAATACTGTAGTGTTGATCGATATCTGAAGGGAGCTTAGTTAGTTCTTATCCCCTTAGTCGAGACGGGTTGGTCTATGAGTCATCATTATGATTTATCGACATGATAGCCGAGTGAGCTTCGGGTCGAGTGTATGGTCGAGACGTTTGCTCGAGGAGTCGCCTTAATTACGAGGGATCGATTGATCCCGCACTTCGAGTCGGTAATGACGGCCATTGGTCAAAAGATGACTTGTTCGCTCGGCCGACCAATAGACTTGCCATTGGCTGGGCTTTCGGGCCTCTAAACTGGTTTGGACCATGACTTTTTTAAGCCTATGCAGACAACCTTTCGGTATCTTCATCTTTAGATGGTAAATTACCATAACACGATCTATATGCGAATTGGTCAAAAAGAAAACTAGTTTTACGGCTTAAAATTCGAACTAAAAAAAACTAGCTCAAACATTGCCTAAGTTTTGTCAAACTAGAAACCAAAATTTAGACCATACTCTGTACGCACTAAAACTAGTTCTTTGGACACACCCTATAATTATATGTCAATTAATCTTAGGGGCTTGTTTGGATTGAGGGGAATAAAGGTGAAAGGAAGTTAGGGTAACCATTCACCTCCATTCACCTTGTTTGGGAACATTTAGAAGGTGAAGTTATTCACCCTAGTTCCCCTTGGCTCATCCCCTAATAATATAAAATTTGTTATCCCCAAATTGGGGTGTAACCAAGGGAAAGGGAACTCCCTTCCCTTCCCTTCTATTCTCTCACTTAGTTTCCTTTAACTTCCCTGCAAATCCAAACCGGCTATAAGGGATGAGATAAGCAAGTTAAAAATTTGCTAATCGCCCAATTATTACCTCGGTCCGCAAGAACCGCGTGCTCGACCCAACCAACGTAATTCTAAAACTAACCCAACAACTTCCGATACGTCACAATCTCATAATTTTCGGTCACCCTTTCCGTTTTAAAAACCCTAGCGAAGCCCTCCTCGCTCTCTCTTTTTCTCTTCCGCCCCAAACCCTAATCAATGGCGTACGGAGGCTACAGCTCTACCTACGGCGGAGCGAGCTCCTACTCCTCGCGCCTCTCGGCGGATCCCTACCTCTCATCCGCATCACGGTACTCAAATCCCAGCGCTTTCGCTTCTGCTTCCGAGATCACCAAGTACTCTTCGTCCTCGATGGACTACGGATCTTCTCTCTACTCGAATCAAAGAGAGTTTGGCGGGATCGGGGGCCAATCGTCGTGGGCTGGCTACGATGGAGCTGGATTGACCTCGGGCATGAAGAGGTCCGCTGAAGGTCGGTTAGGATTTTGTTTTTTCGCTCTAAATCTTGTTACTATTGAATTACTGCGCAGATTTTTTGTAATTACAGGTGCAAATTGGTATCTTTATCTTTTTGTGATATGAATAAAGATAGGCTACGTTATCCTTGTTTAATCTACTGTTTATGCTAACTCGTTTCTTGTGAAAACTCAGATGCACTCATGGTGTTTCTAGTTCACAAGTTTTGTTTTCTTGACTCATTGGGTAAATGAGTGCACCCCCTGAGGTATTTTCAGCTTTAAGGAGCTGCTGCTAGATCGATTTTGCATAGAAAAGCTAGAAACTTGGTACGGCTGTTCCTCAGGGAAGCTCCTGATATCGATTAACTAACGTTATTTTGATGCGGTGTAGCTGAGGATCAAGCATTACACCACACATTATGTGCTTAATTGCTATGTAGTTCTGATCCAGCGAACCTTAGTTTCTTTGCAAATGTAATGAAGGTTTTTTCTTTAAGTGTCATGCAATTCCTAGACCTTCCTGAATAGAAAAATAAATAAATAAATAAATAAATAAATAAATTAAAATTTACGTGATTCTGTAGAGTTGGGACAGTATCTCCTGGAAAAGATGGTGAGAAGGAGAAGTTGATTTCGAACCAAAAGCAAGAGTGACCTTTGAGATATCTGTTGTATTTTTCTTGCTATTGTACAGATACCAGAAATATTTTCATTAAGATGATTCTGCTTCTTCTCCAAGCTCATCCAGCACATATATACTTACATACATCTACGTAATACATGCAGGCATGCATATACATATGACGTTCTTTTATGGTATTTTTAGTTTCTTAGCATGTAGTGGCCCCATATTTGTTGTTGCTTTTATGTTCTGGCTAGTTACCTGACAGGATTAGCTTTCTGTTTCACAATATTAACTATTTTCTTTTGACATTTGAATACTTATTCAATTACCCTAGTCATGTCTGCATGCCAGTTAACGCTAACTGACAGTTGATTTTATTATTTCATGCTATCCGCATATTGATTTATAGTAGAAAGTATCTGCATGTAATTTAATCTGCATAAATTACAGGCATTTGGTAGCCCTGTATAAGGGTAACAATTATTCATCCACCTTGATAAGATATGTGTCCTTTTCCACTTGGATTGGTTCATTCCTCATAAATAGCAAGCTTCGGCCGCGAATTCATTGCCATGTTGCTTATATCTCATATGACACTCGATCTTGAAAATTAAACTGCCTTTCTGATTTGTCTCTCAAGGTATCTATATTTTACGTGAAAAAGTAGATGTGTGATATATGATACATCAGTAAATATGAATATGTTATTACTTATCAACACATATTTCAAGAAGCTAGAATCTGGAGTTATATTTAAAAAATAACCGATTAATTATTTGAAGTATTATTCTGTCACAGGTCATTTTGGCATAGTTAAAAATTTTAGCAATTGTTTTGTGTTTTATATATTTAAAGAGGTTACTTCTAAGTCCTAACATAAACATGTGTAAACATATGTAGCACATATTAAAAATTTAAGCATAGGCTTATAGTTTTAAAATTTCTGTATTGATGTTGATTAATTTGGCTTATGGTACATAATATAGTATGATTTAATACATGGGGGGAAAATTAGAAAATCGAATCACAATACATATCTCAAATCTATGGCATGTAGTTTATCGAGTATGACAATTGTTAGTAGTAGTACCATTATATTTGAAGGCAATGAACCATGTTGACTAAAATTCATATTCTTTTGAGGAAACAGGAAGTTTTATTCTCACACCTATACATTTGCGTCTGAAGGCTCTTAATTCTTTAAGTGGATGCAATGCTTTATTGACTACAATAGGTGATTGATCAGCATCTGTACTTTTGGGTTATAATTTCTGATAATTATATTTGATCCTTTAGTTGGTGATTAATATTATTAATGCCAAATTTGTTACAGAACATTTTTTGTGGTCCGTATCTCTTGATTCCTAGAACTTGCAAAATGCCTTGTAGGCTGAGCATCCTGTTTTGAGCTTAGCTCCTTGTCATGGAAGTATCTTAACTGTAGTGGATGTTTTTGAACGTGAGAAGGAGCATGTGATTTTCGGAGGAACACTTTAAGCCAGGATGCCCTTCATATGCAACGGTGTCATGCATCTCATAGTTTGTTGTATTTAGATTGGGACTCAGTGCCAAAAATTCCCCTCTTTTCTACCCCCACAAACCACATCCATTTCCGTACAAACAAGCCTAAGTATGATTTGGAAATTTTATGGAGGCTGAACTTTGCCGTACCAAAGAAGATTTGGGCTTTTTCTAGTTCTTTTTATCCTTATGCTCTTGAGTTGCTACATATGCTGAAAGGCTAGTATATAAGTTTCTTATATGCTTAAATTAAGTTACTACATTACTGAAATTTTAAGAAGCTTAGTATCTAATTATATGTGTCGAGCACTAGTACTGTTGGCCTAATTGTATAATACTGACTTTCACTTTTATGGTATAATCACTATTCAGTATCCAACCCTTTATTTTGAGGTTATTCGTACTATTTGCAGTAAATGGTTAGCTTCGTATATTTTATTTACTTTAAAAATTACTATGAAAGAACACTATCTATTAATGGCCCGCTGCTTTCTTATACTATTTTCTCTACTATCTACGTATAGCTCTCTACCAACAGAATGTTCTTGGAAGCTATAATACTATTGGGCAAAGTGACGCTTTATTTTCTTCAAATTCTATGTTCAAACACCCTAGACTTGAAACTGCAAGCAGCCTGCCCGTATATCCACAGCGACCGGGAGAGAAGGATTGTGCACATTATATGCAGACGAGAACCTGTAAGTTTGGAGAAGCCTGCAAGTTTGACCATCCTATTTGGGTACCAGAGGGTGGAATTCCAGACTGGAAAGAGGTGAAAGTTTGTGAATTGTGATACTTTTATAAGTAGGCTGTTAACTACTATGTTTATTTATTAATATAGAATAAGTTTAAGTCATATTTAATTTATATTTTTTCATGAATAGATTAGTACCTTGACCACATTTTGGTGAAGCAATTTCTTATGTTTGCCATCTTTAGGACTAGATTTATCATATTTTGAGCGCTATATTGTCTATTTTATACAAACACATCCCTTATATATATATATTTGCTAATATTATAAGCTTTAAGAAATTTCTTATGTTTGCCATCTTTAGGACTAGATTTATCATATTTTGAGCTCTGTATTGTCTATGTATATATATATGCTAATATTATGAACTGCATTCTTGGAAAGTTGGATTTTCTTTCAAATTGGTAGAATATTTTGTATATCTGTCATCTGTGAATGACTAAAATTTAAGAGCCAGTAGACCTTTTAATTGAAAATTAGAAATCTTGTAAGCTTACATCATTTTCTTCCTCAAATATAGCAAAAACACCTGGAAGTGAAGGGCATTGTATTGTATTATAGGCGATATATATATTTTATCACGGCTGTGAACATTATATTAGCATATCACAATAGGCTTTGATAGATTATCAAGTTAATATAATGGACCATGTATGGTGTTCTTGTCTTTGATGATATCCCCTTTTCAGATCAATTTGCTAAACCTCTTAACTGTTCATGAGACTTTTAGTTGCTTATATACATTCAAATGATTAAGGATCATATAAAGGATGATCAATCCTTCACTGGTTTTTAGCAAGAAAGTTTTGGCTTGATTTGCCCTTTTAGATAGAGGATATAATTGGTGTATGGATCAGATATGATGAAGACTATGAAGCACGGACACGCATAACATGAAGCCGTGTCGTGTCCGTGTCGGACACACGTGTCGAACACACGTATCCTATGTATTTTTTAGGATTTGCCTCATGTCGGCGTGTCAGATGGCCGTGTCGGATTCGTGTCCGTGCTACATAGGATGAAGATGTGGTATGTCACTATATCAGTAGTCTGTACTGCTCTTGGATATTGGATATGAGTTCAGGTGAAGGTATCTTTGAGTCAGAGAGAAGTTCCCTTCTTTTGCACAACAAAGTGGGATATGATAATGCAATCACACACGGAAAAATATGCTAATTGGATAGAATAAATAATCAGAATTCCATTGTTGCTGTGAAGGACGGTGATTGACTACCCCACCGGGTATAAGCATCTTTTTAAGATCTCGTGATTTAAATTTTGAATGTTGTATGCTGTTTATGTTTTGTAGTTGATAACTATTTACCCATCATCTCCTAATTGTTATTGGAATACTTATTCTGATTCTGTATTGAATCCTATAAAAAGAAGCATGGGCATAGCCTAAAATTGTGTCTAAGAAATAAGCAGGTTCCCACTGTATAGGATTGATCATCAACTTGACGAATTTGGAATCTTGTTCGTAAAATCCACATTTGTAGATAGTGGACTCAGTTATATTAACAAAGCCATGAAATTGAAGGGAGAAGGTTATAAGACATCTTGATTCTGACCATAAATAAGAAATAAACCAAAGGATGAGATCTGGCTGCAGTGAGAATTGAGGGGCAAGTAGTACTTTAGAAAATGACTAAGAAATGAGCATATCCTCACAAATTTTGAGATAACTCTAACCAAGATGATGAGATGTTTTAGACCTGTGGAATGATGGATATATTTGCTATTAAAAAGGAGTTATATGATATTAGTTGACGGAGCAACAAGAAGGACCAAAAACAACGTGGACTTAGCTTCCTTTTCATTAAATTTTTTTTATTCGGTCTTTTGGACTCCATTTAGAAAGGTGAGCAGAAAGTTGCTTACTTGCCATGTAATATTTTAATTACATTCTTTTGAAAATTAATTTTTTAGTATAATCTTCAATAAGTTATATTGTTTTATTTTTGGTATTTTTAAATTTTAGTGTTGTTTGTTATCAAAAATTTTTAGTGTGATTTAACAGTTTGACTATGGAACTTTTAGTTAATCATTTGTTAGTAAAACATCCTAAACTAAGCTTAAAACATATTTATTAATATACTTTCGTTTGAATGTTTATATGTTTATGTGTCTATATGTGTTTATCTATGTAGATGCACACATATTCATAAATGCACACAAAATGTGTTTTTGTTGGTGTGTATCTGTATGGTGTGCATGCGCCTCAGCACGGACATGTGGGTGGGCGCGCACGACTGTTCGTCTCTTCATGTGCACGCTCGAGTGCGTGAATGACAGGCAGTTGAACTTATAAAGAATAACGAGTACTACAATCTGCATAATGAAGACCATGATATTACTAAATCATGATTGACAGCTTGCTCTAATATGTGATTAATTTTGTGATCTGCAATCAGAATCATGGTTCCACGCTTCCGTATAGTTTGGTCGAAGAAGGATGTCAAACCACAATCTCAAGTTTTATTAAATAATCAGGATGATAGAAGAAAGATACTCAATTAAATAAGTCATAAGTTTTGAACATACTCAGCAGTCAGTTAAGTTTATAACACAATGGTGGACCAATCTGCATCATCATTATCATATTTACTGAATCTTAACTTTCACCTTGCTTTAAATAGAACAGAGAGGAAGGTTTTTCATGCTGAGAAATTGGATCTGAGGTTATAATTTTTATGTAAATGAATCACTATTATGGACATGTCACGACTCATGAAAAAGAATAGGCAACCTTCAACTCTGGCTGTTTCGCACCCTATTCTCTTTAGTTCTTCTAGGGTCTTCACTGGATTACAAGGATCTAATATAATTGAGGCATTCACTATGATTTTATTGTTCGAGATGCAGGTTGAGATAGGAGAATGCAGGTTAAGAGTGAGAGGGAATGTCTGATAATTTTGCTACTGTTTTAGTCACCTAACTAAGTACCTTATGCTAACTTATTGGAACTGGAATTGCATTTGTAATGGTACCATCTTTTGCAGGTTCCACTAGTTCCTACCACTGAAGCTCTTCCGGAGAGACCCGGGGAACCTGATTGTCCTGTAAGAAGACTTACAATCTTTTCATGCCGTAGTCTAATTCACCTTCCTTTTATCGAGCTCTTTTGTTAACATATTCAATTGAACTCTGTTTTCAATATGGAAAAGTACTATATGAAGACCCAGAAATGCAAATTTGGTTTCCGCTGCAAATTCAACCATCCGAAGGATAACCTGAACGCATTGACAGGTGGAGGAGATGGAATGGTAAGCCTGTTGTATCCTGATTTGATCCATTATCCTGGTTCCTACTTGATTTTTGTTCTCTCCCACCTTTTCTACATGAATTTATCATATAATTTGCAGGGTACTGGAACCGTTGACCCTGTTTTGCTACCTGAACGACCTTCAGAGCCGATATGTTCGGTAAGATTCTTTTGTTCAATAGATGATTTTATTGTTCTTTGATTTTGCCCCGTTATCTCTTTAAACTGTAGGCTCTCTTTCTGTGACTTCCTCTTGACAGTTCTATTCGAAAACTGGCAAATGTAAATTTGGTGCAAATTGCAAATTTCATCATCCGAAGGATCTTGAAATACCATCAAGTGGGCAAAATGCTGGTGCTCTGCAACAGGTTGAATCAGCAGGTGGAGATTCAGTACCAGCAAAAACTTTTGCTCCGTTTACCCCCGCTTTAGTGCATAATTCAAAGGGACTGCCTATAAGACCGGTAGGCTCTTCACGATTCTATCGATATGGCATGTTATGACTATCTTAATAGAAAGTTATAAACTTTGTTTTTAATACTATGCTAGTTAATTGAACTATAAACTAATGTGTTAATAATTTAAATTTCATTTGTAATATCATACATTTGATGCGTCGTTCTCTCTGATGCTATATTGAACTGCCTATTAGAAATATCCATTAATTGAAAGTATTGATAGAATCTGATTTGTGTACATTAAGTTGTTGTATCTGACACTATGACTGACTCATTTTGTAGGGTGAGACAGATTGTCCATTCTATGTTAAGACTGGGAGGTAAATTTTGTATATTTTTGACATCCTTATGCGGTTCTAGGTAGTCTATGGCTCTAAATATATGAATACCATTGTTTTTTGTTACTCAGCTGCAAATATGGTGCTACTTGCCGATTCAATCACCCTGACAGAATTGGTATGTTTTTCTCTTGCACATGGTTGTACGTGAAGTTAATCGATTGTTGGTTCTGCAATTTCAATGTGTTAACCATTTGGATATCTCCCTTATGCAGCAATTAATCCTCCATTGGGAGGTAACATAGGTCAGACGGTCATGCCTTCTGCTGCAAGTCTGCCTATTGGTCTAATCAACTCTGCAGCTAACCTTATTCCAAGTATAGATCCACTATTGGCCCAAGCATCAGTAAGATTACTAGTACCTCTTATATATATTTCCATGATGATAATGTTTGAAATGACTAGTGAATTTTTATATATAAGTTCTTGTGTAATGCGGTCATTTGACAATTCCTTTTGCTAATGCAGCTTGGAGTTAGCCCTGCTGTGTATCCTCAAAGGCCTGGAGAAATGGCATGTGATGTATGTTTTCAAAAGCTTCTTTTAACTTTGAGTGTATCCACTGTTTTCAATTTTTTTTCACTGAACTCTTGTCCATTGTGAAGTGCTACATGTAGTAAGCTGCTGACATTTTCCTTAATTTTACATCAAACATTTGCTTTTAAGGCAAAATGCAGACCAAAATATTGATGAATCTTTTGTTGTTCTCAATAAAAAAAGCTGATATCAGGTTATAGTTTGTCCACTCTAAAACTCCTTAGTTCTTCTCCATTGCATGCCCCATCTTCCTTTTAAAAAATCTTGAATTATGTTTATACATTACCATGATTTATTAGATTATTATTTCTTATTTCTGATAGGTTATTTACAGAGCATCATTTCTTATTTCTGATATATTATTTTCCATTATGGATGCCAAATTTGTTGGTCAAGCTGCTTGCGGCTAACTCTATTGCATGTTTTTAGATCAACAGTTACATATGTATCTGATTTTCCTTCCTCTTTTTTCCCAATTAGGGTTGCATTTACTATCCTATATTTGTTTGACTTTATCAAAATGTTTCATTCACTTGTGACGTGTTTGTGTAACTATTCTTGTGCCTTTGTTGTCTCAAAATGTAGTTTTACATGAAGACTGGACAATGCAAGTTTGGAGAGAGATGTAAGTTTCACCACCCTATTGACCGGTCTGCACCAAATGCCTCTGTAGCACAGGTTCAGCCGAATGTCAAGCTTACGCTTGCTGGGCTTCCACGAAGGGAGGTAAAATACTATATCCTATATAATATGTCTTTACTGATCAGTGCATTAGTCTGTTTCATTCAGAGGCATGGGGTTATTACTGGTTTACAGAATTATTTTCAGCTTGATTGTGGTCTGGTTTTGTATTGCATTTCTCTAGCCTGGCCTATTTTGAATTCTGATTACTTCGCCCGTGGAAAGGAAAATCTTAGGTTGAACTTCTATGAAACTTGTAGCACTAGCATCTAACTGGTTTTGTTGCAACATTGAGCCATACCACCTGGAAAAGGATAATCAAGGGAACTAAAAATTTGATACTGTTAGAATATAAAATAGGGTAAATTACACTTCAATACCCTAAGGTTTGCTAAATTTTCACGAAAATGCACTAACTTTTTACCTGTACAAATAAATACCCTAAGGTTTCCAAAAGTATCACATTGATTGATACCCGAAAAAGGGTATCAACGTGATACTTTTGGAAACCTTAGGGTATTTATTTGTACGGTAAGAAAGCTAGGGTATTTTCGTGCGACGTCAGGAAACCTTAGGGTATTTAAGTGTAATTTACCCATAATGTAACCCTCAACCCTCATCATAACTTAGAAGTTTTGGTGCAATAGTTGGCAACTTTAAGATGGTATCGGAGCAATCCAAGTTCAAATCCCACCATCATGAAGTTAAGCGGGTCTTCTAAAATTGACACCATGTGTGTGAGTCCAGGTTTCAGCCCATGAAAAGGGCGCTCAATTTGCGGGGGAGTGTTAGAATATAAAAAATATATAACCCTCACCACAACTTTGGAGTTTTAGTGTAATGGTTAGAGACTTTAAAAGATACAAATATGCTCTTCTAAATAACATTTGGTTTTATATGAAAGAGAGTTTATATGCATCTGAGTGGTTCTTAAACCTTTTAGAGTATTTGTGGGGGCAAGTCAGGGAACTCTCTTGTGCTTGACCCATGCCTGAACAGGAATGAGATGGTCATGTTTATTTATTGTCATATCAGCCAAACAAAATATGGGTAACCCTTTTCATTTGATCAAGATTCTAATTTAAAATGAAAATAACAACTGCACTTGGTTTGCATGGGACTTGGATCACAACACTTGAGAGCAACTCCACTTCAGTGCCCCGTGCAACATTGAACTGAAAAAATATACTCAACCCCTGTCAATATCCGGTATATCTTGATTCTTGAAGTAACATCTGAGTCCCATTCTGGGTTTCATGAAGTCAGTTCGAGATCCAAAACAACCATTATGTACCATGCATAAAACATTCCACATTATTTAATGTATCTGATTGAAAAGCTTGGGCTGTGCATTATTCTGGGATATTGTGCAGGGTTCAGTTGCATGCCCATTTTACATGAAGACAGGCACCTGCAAGTATGGAGTTACATGCAGATTTGATCACCCGCCACCTGGAGAGGCTATAGCCATGGCTACTGCTGCACAGGGAAGCGAAACTGGAGTTGATGCAGAACAGAACTAGGATGCATTTGCATTTTCTCAGTGGTACTTTTCCTCTCGTTGTTTTCTTGCTTTGATCTTTGGTTGGTTGGATCTTGAAAATGGGTTGTCTTCAGTGGACATTAGCTCGTATAGTTTGTTTGGGGAACTAGTAATTGCAATTTGTATGTTATTGTCACTAGCTTTAATCACTTTGGAGGCTGTGTTATGTTTGGTGATATTATGTTCGTGGAGTTATTTGGCATGCCAGATTTTGATCAATTTTTAATTAACGGTAAATTGCTTGAAGATGCTTCAGAATAGTTAGCTTGTAGATATTACTAATGAAGATGAAATTTGATTTGATAATTGATAGCTATTGTCATGTTTGTTAGCAGTCATTCGTATCATCCTTTTAACTCCCCATTCATAGTTTGATTCGATACCCTTATTCAAGTGTTAACCATTGATAGCTTTTGTCATGTTATTAGCCATTCGTATAATCTTTACGCTCCAAGAACTCTATAAGCACAATCTGATTTCAAATTCAGACTGCGAAGATACGATGTCATGGCCTTATTTGTTGGACAGCATTAACGGTTCCGAAACATTGGAATAAAACAATGCAAATATAAACCAAGTATCTCCGTATTTGTTGGACGGTTATAGTAGGTGTGTAACATTGAAGTGAAGCAGTGCAAATATAGGCTAAGTTTAATGTTTTCATCCGCGCATTTAAAACACATTGGGAAAATCGCAAGGTTATTATTATTATTATTATTATTATTATTATTTTGGAGATACGGTTGTTTGTTAACGACTGGCTTTCAGAGGGTGGTGACTGAGGGGGATTCGGAGCAAGTTATTAGTGAGACAGGGCAAGGCGGAGATCATAGGTCTATATTTGGGCACGTGTTAAACGACGTCATTTTTTGTGCGCTGATATATGGAGGTATGTAGTGTTGAGGCGGTGCATAGGATTGGAATCGAGGTTAATGATATTTTGGCCGGTCATGCTGTGGAAACCGAAAGCTAACTGTTTGGATTGACAACTACATTCATTTAGAGGCAATTGTAGAATGATAGTGCTCAAATTGGATTATATATGTTCTTTTTAGAGCTCTGATGCATATGCTTTTATTTTGCCTACATCATTCTCTCTAAAAAAAGAGGCTAATAGCTACCTGTTTTTTCATGTGTCATGTAATATTTTGATGGCAGTGATCAAAAATTGAAACTGTCCACGTGGACAAGAGACAAGCGTAGCCCAGTTCGTAGCAGCCGATGTCCCTTTACTCATAATTGGGAGTTCGATGCTTGGCGCTGTTCTTTTTTGTTGTTGTCACATTTCCTAACACGAATGTCCATATTCGCCTTGTTTGAGGTTGAAGATTCTTCTGGTTTGCGAGGAGAATAAGGTCCTTTGCATGTGATATAATCTGCAACTTCATGTGCTCAGCCGAAACATGAAGTTGATTAAAGAAAATATAAGATATTTTAGATTTTAGTTCCTTAAGTTATATCTTCCAAAATTTGGTATTAGACACTGAAATTGGTATTAGGTCTCTCAATTTTTTTAAGTTATTTTGAATTTAGTCCCTCAAAGCAATAGTACAATTATCAACTAAAGTGATGATTAGTTTCAAACAAATTGTGAGGATGGAGAAATCTGACGAAAATGTCGTATGATTTGAGGGACTAATTTTTTCAAATTGCTATTTTTACCCTTCGCTAGAGGGACCAATTTCCAAACAACTTGAGAATTGGAGGGCCTAACAGTCCAATGATTTGAGAGAATAATTAAAAAAAAATTAAGAATTGATATCTAATAGCAATGTCAATTAGTTGAGAGACTAAATTTCAAAATATGGAAGACTAATGTTAAAAATTTGAAAATTTATATTTTACTATATTTTATTAAGATAATAATACAAATAAATTATAAAGTAAAGGTAAATTGCATACAACCCCATCTACATCCTTATTTGTAATTAACAACCTCACTTTATTTATTAGCACTTAACCCCTTTTGATTCTTGAGAAAAACATGTTTTACCTGCTATTCATCTTTCCAAGTTAAAATTAGATAAGAAATATCTACTTATATTTATCTTTAGAATAGTTTTGATATTCACTTGGGCAGACTTTCAATATTATTATAATTTTAAGAATCTCCCAAAAAAAAAGAAGAAGGAAAAAGACAAAAATATATAAACTGAAGGGTAATATCACATAACCTCCTCATTTACACCTTTTGTTGCACTTAGTCCCCCACAACTCATTTACTAGAGTCCCTCCGGAGAGGGGTGATACTTGCAATTTCTATGTTTCTATAGGCAAATAAAATTGTATTTATCCCTAACAGAGAAATTCAGAAGTTCGCCTACAAGAACATTACAAAAAATAGTAAAAAACGGACAAAAACGCTGATATCTTTCAAACCGGAGGGAATTTGGCAAAACGAACGGCGGCAAACCGGCTTTTGGTGGGTTTGGTCGGCACCGTCTCGTTGAGATAATCAATTTTCATATATAATTCGTCTAATTCTGACTTACGGTTTGAAAGTTATGACCCGTTCTTCGCAGCAAGTTATGTTCCTCAACACCTGAACTTCGCCTGCAAGACTAGGGTTCGCCTGAACCAAGCCAAGTCTACTTGTTCGCCTGAACATTCAAGGCAAGTCCGCCTGATAGTGTAACTTCGCCTGAATCAAATAAGCAAAGCCAAGTTCGCCTAAATACTTGACTCTGGGGACAAGGCCAAGTTCGCCTAAACATTGAGCTTCGCCTGAACGAAGTTACGCTTGCTTAAATGCTTAACTTACAAAGCTTGCTTGCATGAGCCAAGAATGCCTGAACGCTTGAAGCTCGTCTGAATTGGTTGAAGCTCGCCTGATAGGTTCGCCTACGAGGTTCGCCCGCATACTCCAACCTCGCTTGCATGTTCCAATCTCGCCTGAAACTCGCCTAGCTCGCATGAAATGTTAAAACCACCCGCTCGAATTGTGGAAGTGGTTACGCCCACTTACCACGATCTAAGGAGGTGGTTGCGGTCACTCTCCCCTATAAAAAGCCACGAAGAGGCAAGGAGACGAACCTAGCATATTGTGAACTCCGCTCTCAAATATCCTTGCTCGGGTATCAAACTTCGATAAAGCTCTCAAATATCCACGCGACAAAGCTTATTGGCAGTCTTGTTCGAATCCTCAGGAGAAGAGGACCGAACTTTGAGATCTCGGCATACTCGGCCTACAAGCAATCAAGCACTTGTTCGGCCTTCGAACTCATCCAACCAAACTTCTACCACATGCTGAAGTTTGTCTGCAACCTCGTTCGAATCGTCAAAGGGAAGCAAACTCAACACGGGCATTGAGGGAGGCATCCTATCACCCCAAAGAGCCCACGTTAAACAAAGAGAGATCGAACCAATTCTCTCTGCTTTTGTGTAAAATCGATTTTGATTTGTAACACACAATTAATCAATACAAAATTTGAGATCTCATTTTACGACAAACAGTTTCTAAAGGAAACTAGATAAGTGGAATATCTACTTAGAAAAGTTATCCTTAGAACATTATTTAAGATTTACTTAAGCATGCTTCTAATATCATTATGATTCTTCTCAAAGAAATTATCTTTACATATTTTCGGTAAAAATTTAAATAACAATATGCAGATACTAAACAATAATATTTAATATTTGATATTTATAATTCTCTAATTATGATAGGACACTGAACAATAGTATAATTTTAAAAATTCTAGAGAAAGATAATTATCCAAATATTTATATAATAAACTAAAGAGTAAATTGCACATAACTCCCTTATTTGTATTGTTATCAGCTCATTTATTAGCATTTATTGTCGTCTCAGTTCTTGAGTGAATGAGGTTTTAACATATGTAATAGTATTTTAGCTCGTGCTAAGCACGGTCTTACATCCATGATCCGATCTTACCTCCATGTTCTAATATGTCACTTACAAAAAGACTCTACAGAACACATTTATCTCTTTCAATCCCCTATCTTATAGTATTTCATACCTCCCTGATTCTAACATATATTGTACCCATATATATTACAAAATTAACAAAAGTATTTCAAATTTATATTACGGCATGTATTTCAAAATACATTAAGAATATTACAAAAAATATTGTTAGGTAATTTAATAGTTAAAAAATGACAAAATTATATTCCTTCTCCCCTATATGTGACAAACAAATATATAGAGATCTTTCTTATGAAAAGAACAAATGACATCTACTATGTTAGGCATTTTAATTTAATAGTGAAAACATAGATAACTATAGACTAATTACATTATTGTATTCTTCTACTCTTGCTTTGAGGGACTAATTTAAAAATAATTTAGCAAAGCGGTGGATTTAATAGCAAATTGAGGAACTAATTCTGATAACTATATAGGAATTGTGGGACCATTAGCAATTTCAATGATTTGAGGGGCTATTTCCAAATATGAAGGATGTAAGTAACTAATATCGAAAAAAATAAAATAATTTAATTGCAAAAAGCCCCATATACTTTTCATCACTTCGTGATTTAAATGAGATGGGGTGTCGTGTAAAAAATCATAAATTTTAGGATTACTTGCGAATTGGCCTAAAGAAAAGACACTCAATAATGTCAACGAAAGATAGGTAGATCTCGCATCAATATAAGAACCTTTACTTAAAACATTAGCAAAAGAAAGTCCCTAAGATATAGTAAACTTAATTCAATAGCAGGACACACTCAGATTACTAAAAAAATTAACAAAAATATTTAAATTTTACATCAAAGAGAAAACCTTGAAAGGTTGTAAATAGATCAATAAAATATCAAACATTGGGTATTCTTGAAGCATTCCTTGATCGTTGAGAGTGAGTATCCTGCAATGAATATAATACATAAAATGCACATGAGAATTTAAACATAATATGATAAATTCAAAACTTTACAATTTATTCAAATGAGAACATACCAATAGCTTCTATAGAATCCTAAGTTCCTAACCCTAACTCTAACAATAGCATTAACACTAACTACTATAAATATACATCTAATATATTTTATAAAGAACGATAAAATAAGAATGTTAAAATCCAATTAAACATGGATAAGAAATAAGCGAATAAGAACATTATGTTGGAAGCTTTGTTCATGAAAAGGCAATTTTGCCTTTGTGAATAGTCCCACATTGAAAAATGAGATGAATAGTAAAGGGTATATAATGGTTCTCTCCTTATTAGGCTTTGAATAGTGTTTTGGGTTTTGTGGACTTTGCATATCTACCACACACGCACGCC